TCCAGTGGAGCCTGAGTGGTGGGTGTTGCTATCTGACACACTTCCGGTGATGTCAGGGGGTGTGGCATATGCAAATAAGTTATGCAAATAACTTATGCTAATGAGCTCCTGCACCTCTTTTTCTATGAAATGACCCTTGGTAGTTTATATTGGGGGGGGGGTTTGGAACCATTCAGGGTTAAAATATAGAGTTCTGGACACTCAAGGGACTCCAGTTTTGCAGAGAAATATTCGTTTTAACACACACCCTCCTAACATGGAGCTCCAATGGAATAATAGCAGAGCAAGTGCTGAAGAGGACACCCAGAATTATTATGTCAAACTACCCTGTAATAAAACCCGAGACCCTGGAGAGACCCTGCCACTCTGAGTAGAGGGGGGGGAGAGAAGCTTGCAATGCTCAGCCATTTCATGTTCCGTCCCCTGTGTCCTAGGCCCAGACCATTTATATTTGTCGTTTATATTTCAGGGAGGGGGGAGGTTTGGGACTAACCACGGTTAAAATATAGAGTTCAACAAAACTTCAGTTTTGCAGAGAAATATTAGCCCCTAATGTGGGGCTCCAATGGAATAGCTGCTATAATATCTTTAATTGTGTTTTCCTGTGTCCTTTATAAAGTTTCTATCTCCACTACCTGGCATTACATTTTATGACACACACGGCCCGGCCCTCATAACAAATGAGTTTGACATCCCTGCTCTGTGGCATCATATGCCAGCTTGTACTGGCAAGGTGAGATATAAATCAAAAGTAATACAATGAGGTCCCTGTCAATGTTCCCTCTAAGCTGTGAAGTCTTGTGGGCAAAAATTCTACTTTGTGAGCCAATGGCATTAAAGTTGTGAGTGAGAGATTTGGCTACTGCCCAAATTAGCCGGAGCTCTCCTTCCTGAGCTAAGACAGAAATGTGTGAGCCGGAGGCTAAAAAACTGTGAGCTAGCTCACACTAACTCAGCTTAGAGGGAACACTGGTCCCTGTCCTCCCCAGGCTCCATCTCCAAATCTTCAAGAGTTTCCCAACCTGGAGCTGACAACCCGACCCCCCATTCCCCATCGGTGGCCGGGGGGGACCTGGCAACCCTAAGACTGTCCCACCGAAGAGGGCAAAGGCACCTTCTCTGCTTCTCCACCGGGCACGACCATATCTAATCGGATTAAGCTATAGGGGAAGAAGAGAAGAGATTGGATTTATCCTCCGCCCTTCACTACCTGAGAGGAGTCTCAGAGCGGCTTACAGACTTCTTTCCCTTCCCCTCCCCACAGCAGACACCCTGTGAGGTAGGCGGGGCTGAGAGAGCTCTCCCGAGAATTGCCCTTGAGAGAACAGCTCTGAGAGAACTTGTGACTCACCCAAGGCCACACCAGCAGCTGCATGTGGAGGAGTGGGGAATCAAACCCGGTTCTCCCAGATTAGAGTCCGCGCTCCTAACCACTACACCAAACTGGAGGGGGGGTGGAGAAGCGTGCAATGTTTCACGTTCTTCCCCTGGGTCCTAGGCTCAGACCAGGGTAGATTTCACTTGAACACTAAGAGAAGCTTCCTAACCATAGGAGTGATTCAGTAATGGGAGTTGAGCTTTCTCTCACGGCTGGAGGTCTTCAAACAGATGCCAGACAGTCATTTGTTAGGGATGCTCTAGCTTTGGGGTTCCCTGCTGTAATGTATCCAGTCCAGAGAAATCCAGAGACAAACGTCGAGCTTCGCTCCAAGAGACAATGGACTATGCGGATCCTAGCCCGCTCCAATCAGGGGGCTAGGTTCCCGGCCGAGAACCTATGGGACTCTCGGCCACTGTAAATAACCTGTAGGGAAGTAGGGGTGTGTTTTGGGTGGGGGTTTCTCGGGGGATATAAGCCGGCCTGCGAGCCGGCCAAAGTTGTCTTGTTCCTGATCGAATAAAGTACGCTTTGCTGAAATCACTCTCCGTCTGCGTACTTTTCACCTGCATTAAGCAGGGATTGGACTAGAAGGCCCCTTTCAGTTCTACAAGACATCCCCCCCCCACACACACACACACATCAAGCTCTCTGCCTTTGCACCTTGTCAGTCTTGGGCATCCCTTAACTGGTTCTGGGGACCTGGATAGTAAAGTGCAGGACAACCTCCCTTTAGGGGAAGGAAGTGAGCTCCCGTATCAGAAGTCGCGCACGTGGAGCTGCCTTCTGCTGAATCAGACCTTTGGTCCATCAAGGTCAATTCTGTCTGCTCGGACCGAGAGCAGCTCTCCAGGGTCTCAGGGGCGAGGTCTTTCACAACACCTTTGGCCTGCTCCTTTTTAGCGGGAGGTGCTGGGGACCGAACCGGGGACCTTCTGTGTGACGAGCAGAGGCTCTACCGCTGAGCCACGGCACCTGACCTGGCATTGTAACTCCATTCCTAATCAAACAAAGGATCAGCTCCCACTAAACAGAAGGAGGAGGAAGAGGGAAGGTTGGATTTATACCCCGCCCTTCACTACCCCTCAGATAGACTATAAGCAAGGGGGGACTCTAATGGCCCATGGCCAATCAGTACATGGGTTCAAGCCCACCAAAATAACAGACCATTCTTCCCAAGG